ACAGCCAAGACCTGTGCTTTGGACCTGGCCTCTGAGAAGTCAAGGGTGGGCAGACGTATGGAAGGAATGATGCTGCAATTTGAATGTGAAGCATCCCCACAAGGCTCATGTATTGAGAGAGGCTGATTCCCAGCACAGCCGTATTCAGAGGTGGGGCCAAGAGAGACACTGAGGGGCTGGTGAGATGGCTCGGTGGTCTAAAGCACCTACTTAGAACAGGCTTAGCAAATCACAGGGACCCCGGTTCAATCCCCCAGCACCACATGCCAGCCAGCCCTGCCCCCTGGTGGGCTGGGCTGGCCCCCCCCCCCATAAATAAATAAAAGAGAGACACTGACACCATCCTCCGATGAATTGTTAGCCTAGTGGCCTGGGGTGGGGCCCAGGTGGGGGAAGCAGGCCCTGAGGGTGTGCTTGAAGCTTGTATCCTGCCCCCAGTACCCTACTCTCTCTCTCCCTCTCTTTCTCTCTCTCTCTCTCTCTCAGCTTTCTGGGTGCCATGAGGTGAGCAGCTCTCTGCCACCAGGTCCCCACAGGCCCAAAGGAGTGGAGCCACTGGACCAGACAACCTCAGAAGCGAGGAGCCACAATAAGCCTTTCCTCCTTATGGCTATTTTCCTCAGGTGTTGTGTCACAGTGCCGAAAAGCTGTCACGACTGAAGACCCCTGTAGTGCTGGGGCCGAGGGTCTGGGTGGAAGCAACCCTGTGCTCCTTCAGACTCCAGGTCGCTCGGTAGGGGCTGCTCACAAGGAGGATCCCTCAGGGCTCCGTGGCCAGCATCAGGAGATAGGACGCCATGTTTCTACCTGAGGCCTTGCTTCTTGTGGGCTCTTGGTCTGTTGAGAGTGAATGAAATGGTGGTGGTGGTTCTTTGGCAGGGTGCAGCAGTGGAGTAGTTTAGAAGTCCTGTGGGGGCCTAGTGAAGAAGGTGTGGAACGTGTGCCTGCAGACACAGTGTGTCCAGGGCTGACCTGGGGCCATGTTGAGGCTGACTGATGCTCTTGTGGGCCTGTGTGAAGCTGCGTGGGAAGGCTGTGGCCTGGAACTCAAAGGCTTATGGGAAAGGTCACCTAGGGATCGTGGGCGTGTTTGGGCTTCATGGTCCACCTGGTGGGAGTGCAGCTGTAGGTGCAGACAGCAGTGTCCCCTAGTCAGCTGAGCTTGCATTTGCAGAGCAACTAGCCTAACCCCTCACACCCTTGTCCTAAAGATCTTCGACAAAGTTTGATTGATTTACCTTTAACATTGGGATGTTTGTTATAGACAGGAAGCTTATAAAAAGAGAAAACAAGGTGGCGTTAAAGTACTTTTTTCATGGGAGATTTTAGCGTGTAGCGAAGTAGGCCAACCAGTAAAGAGGTGACTTGTGTGCATCTCCAGCCTCTCGGTCCCCAGCTCAGGCCCATCCACCCCATGAGCCCTACCCCAGCAATTGTGAAGAATGTATGGGCATGCTGCCATCGAATCATGTATGGATATGTCATGTGTAGTTCTAGAAGATGAGGCCTCGTGTAAAGGCCTGTCGTGAAACCTTGGAGACCATTGATCCACATGTAATCAGAGGTTCACTCTGAACGGGGGGCGGTGACCCACACTGATCCTAGCGGTCTGGGAGGCCGAGGCAGGAGGACCCGAATGTCATGCCTAGCCTGGGCAGCTTGGGAGCTCAGTGAGATGCTGTCTTAGAACAAGCAAAGCCAAAACGTGGTCACTGTCATTTGTATGGTTCTTCAAGGAATATTTCTTTGAGATCATTTATGCATCTTTGTTTGAACCCTTCTTCAAACATGTTGTTAGGGGGCTGGTGAGATGGCTCAGTGGTCTAAAGCACCTACTTAGAACAAGCTTAGCAAAAAAGCACAGGGACCACGGTTCAATCCCCCAGCACCACATGCCAGCCAATCCCGCCCCTTGGTGGGCTGAGCTGGACACACACACACACACACACACAAGTATATAAAAAAAAATTAAAAAAAAACATGTTGTTAGTTGGTGTCTGGTTTTTGGGGTAGCTTTTTTTTTTTTTTTTTATTTATTTATTTATTTTGTGTGTGTGTGTGTGTGTGTGTGTGGCCAGCTCAGCCCACCAGGGGCGGGGCTGGCCGGCATGTGGTGCTGGGGGATTGAACCGCGGTCCCTGTGCTTTGCCAAGCTTGTTCCAAGTAGGTGCTTTAGACCACTGAGCCATCTCACCAGCCCTTGGGGTAGCTTTTTAAAGGCTGCCGTGTAATAACTTGTACATACTTAAAGAGTAATAACCAAGGTAAAGAAAGGGCCCTCTACTCCTGTATCCTTGCAGGTGTGGCTTAATATGTGCTTTAGCACGTAGTTTACTGTGACACGAATACACTGGGGAGACCATTGCTCGGTCTTGACTTTCCCTCGCACCACTCTCTTTTGGGTTAACTTCTTTGTGTGGTAGGAAAACGGCTGTGTCCTGGAGGCTCTGGGCCCGGATGTTGCTGCTTGTATTCCCATGGTGTCTTTAGCAAGCCCCTGTTCTGTGATCTCCGTAAGTTGGTATGAAAGCCAGCGGCTGGCTGGTGTTGGGCTTGGTTTCTGGCAGGGCAGTGTTGGTTGGTGGCACCAAGTGATGGGCAGCTGCAGTGCCCGTGCCCGTGCTTGTGGCATCTAGGCTCTGTCTGTCTTTACCACTTCACTGGCACTCTTCTAAAAGCACCGTCCTCTCAGCTATGGTTTGGTGACACTGGGGGTGGGGGTGGGGGACAACATATAGGAGAGCCAGGGTAAGGCAGGATGTGTCGTCCTAGTTTGCAAAGTAACGCGTTGCTTACTGGCATCACCAAGAGTGACACATTAACTTCTTTTTTATTAGCTTTATGAGCTCGGGGGCTTGGTGCATTTGCTGTGCTTCAGCTGCTTGTAGTTTCCTGGTGCTCAGGTTGTCTCATCTTGCCAGTGGGAGCTTTTGACTTGGCCTCATTTCTTCGTCTGTTTTCTGCTGTTTTGACATTAGCACAGATTGGGCAGTTTATAACAGACAGAAACTCACTGACTCACAGCGCTGGTGTCTGCCGAGATCTCTCCTGCTTCACTGTTCCTTGGTGTGAGGTGGGCAGAAAGCAGAAGAGCAAGGGCGGTGGAGCAGAGCAGCGGAGCAGACAGCGCTGGAGGGCAGTGCACAGCTCGCCCTCTCGTGGCGCCCACGTCCCGTTCTACTTGGGAGGCTGGGGCCCTCAGCCCAGTGGTCTCCCAGAGGCCACCCCCAGCACCTTGGCAGTTGTAGCACAGCGCGGAAGGACAAACATTCAGAGGCAGCACCTCAGTGTACTGCAGCACACCTCCCACCTGCAGGGCAGGACAGACCTGCCGGCGTTAGCCGGCTCTCCTCCAGGGAACCCTGCTGCTTTGCAGCAGCTGCCAGGGGGCCGGAGCAAGTTTGAGTCACTATAGATGAGCCGGTGGTGTTAGAGAGGAGTCAGATGCCAGCACCTGTTCCCTGCTTTGTGGAGGACACAGGTTGGGCACTGGTGTGGTGCTCTCTGTACAGGGGTCCAGTAGCTGCTCAGGTGCACAGCTTGCAGCCGGGTGGAAGGTGGGCAAGACGGGAAGCACTGAGCCCCGGAGGGGAGAGGGGCAGGGAGAGCTTAGTGCCCAGATGCTGATGATTAGAATCTAGCAATTACGCAGCTCTAATTTACTTTCACTTTTGTGGGCAGAGCCCCAGGGACAAGCCTTGTGGGGGCATGTGACCCAGAGCACCTTGGGCCTGTCTTCACTCAGGGCCATCCTGTCCCTCACACGTGCACCACCCGAACGGAACAAGAACGCAGGCTGGCAATTACAGGAGGGCTCTGCTTATTTACAGGAAAAGTGAGACCTCTTGGGACATGGTTGACATTTTGCTTCAGTGCCATGCCATTTCTAAGATGCCGCTCTTCTTGTGGGAGAAGTTAATGTGTATGAGTTTCAAAATATTGAGCTAAAATGAATTAGAGAAAATTTAAGTTTATCCTTATGCAATCATTGTATATAGCAGTCTTAATTCTCTGGAGTTGAAAAACGGGCTTCGAGCCGAGGGGTGTAGCTCAGTGGAAGGGTGTTTATCTAGCACTCTCAAGTCTTGGGGTTTAATCCCCAGCCACACACACACACACACACACACACACACACGCGCACCCACTTTTGGGTAGGTGTGAAAAAACACTTGGAGATAATTTCCCATTTACTTACATCTACTTGGTCCTGGTGTCTTGGATCCTACAACGGTAGGCACTCCATGGAAACTGGTCTGCCTCTGAGCTGCTTGCGCATCTGTTCCCAAATTAATGTCTTATTGTTTTCTTACACAACTGTACATAATGACTCCTTTTTTTATTTTAGAGAAGGGTCTACAAGGTCTCACTACTAGATCGACTCAAGTGATCCTCCTGTTTACAGCCTCCCAAAAGCTGGAATTACAGGCTTGCGCCACCATGCCCAGTCTCAATTGTCTTAGCGCGTCCTGGGGGTGGGGGGATGGCGCCAGGGCAGCCTGCCTAGGGATTAAGCCCCCAGCCCCAGTGCCTGTTTGCAGGTGCTCTTTTTTTTTTTTTTTTTTTTTCAGAACTGGGGATTGAACTCAAGCCCTTGCGCTTGCCAGGGAAGCACTTATTCTACTGAGCCATCTCTCTGGCCCTGCAGGTGGTTTAATCTGCTGAACTTTTTGGCCAGCCCTCATAATGACTTTTAATGTGACTCTTTTTTTTTTTTTTTTGTGGTACCAGGGATTCACAAAACTTTATGCTTGCCAGGCAGACACTTATTCCTCTGCACTATCTCCCTGACCCTTCACTGATCTATTACTCATCAGTTATCTTCGTATTAGGCACACTCCCTCATTTATACTGCTTGAAGTCCTGTATGTGTTATAATACTGTACATTTTATTTCTTAGATGTAATTAAGATCAATTTCCATATGGTAAGTGGGTATTTAAAAATAGTTTTCAATCTTGTTTGTTCTGCAAGCTAAGCATGCTGAACTGTTTCTCCCCTTAGGTCTCCAGTGTCTGCTGCATTTTTATCAAGAAAGAAATCATAGTTTGAAGTTGCTTCTGCTGCTCAAGTAGATCAGATGCGATGATCCAGTAGGGAGACTGCGCACGGGGCAGCATCGAGCCTGGCTGCTGGAGGATGAACGGGGAGGAGGAATTCTTTGATGCCGTCACAGGTGAGTTGAAAGAGATCATGACCCAGAGACTGAAAGTGTGCGGGAGTTGGTGGGATCCAGAGAGCTTGGCCTTTGAGAGGCGGCCCGGCTCTGCAGAGCAAGGTCAGAAAGGCTGGGTTCCAAAAGGCTGACACCTGCTTGTTAGGAAGAGTGTACATCCTTTGTCCTATGCGGGAGCCTTGGCGTGGGGTCTTGGAAGAGAGTATGGGAGCAGCGAAGTTTGAAGTTTCTGGAAGAGCCTCGTGGGGGAGTGTTATTTGGATCCTGTAAGATTTGATCTGATTTGAATAAGATGGTTGCTGTTCTTCTGTCACGTAATGAACAAAATTATTGGTCTTACCAGCTGTGGTGGCATATGCTTGTATTCCTAGCACTAAGGAGGCAGAGGCAGGAGAATCTCCTTTAGTTCGCAGCCAGCTCTAATTGAACAGCCAGACTCAAAAATAAAACCCCATAAAAAACGAACCCCAAGCTGGGGCGATGGCTCAGTAGAATAAGCGCTTCCCTGGCAAGCACAAGGGCCTGAGTTCAGTCCCCAGTTCTGCAAAAAAAGAAAAAACCAGTGAGCCCCAAGAGTCATGTCTTGTGACTATGCCTTGGATTTTCCTACTCACAGCATACCATGAGACAGCCTGCTTGCTTTCACAGTGCTCTTGCTGCCTTAAAGTTCAGCTGTTCTTCCCTTTTGGAAAGACATTTAAGTGGAGAGCTGGGCGCGTGTGCCTGGTGGAAGGTGCGGCTCACACGCGTGGGTGTGGGCGGAGGAGGCGGGGCTGGTGTGCGTGCTTGGACCTGCCTGGCACCCCTGTGCTTGGTAGCCATGGGGCCTGGCTCCCCGCTGCAGGCCCGCCTGCTTCTCATGTTCGTTCCTTCCTCTTGTGTCTCCTAGGACCAGGTTTGGAATATCATTTCGGTGCTCACTTCTGTGAAATGGTTCAAATGTCCATTGCCAGTAAAGGGACTTCAGAGGCTTCTTGGGTCCGTTCCCTTGTCCTTAGGTGTAGGAGAGTCACCTACCAACTCTGAAATATTACTGTCGGCCAGGTTTGCTGGCAGTGATCTTGTGATCCTGGTTTTTGTGACAGGGGTTCACTGTGCTGTTCAGGCTGACCTTGAACTCACACTTTCCTGCCTCATCCTCCAGTGTGCTGGGATTACAGGCGTGCACCAGCAGGCCTGGCTCTTGGCCCCGATCTTGAGGTCTTCTGTCGCGGTGCCCACCTGTGTCTTTCCTGGTATCGGTAGCTGCTCCAGCTGGGCCCAGTCCTGTACTGGAGCGCTGTTCCTCTGCCCTGCTAGTGAGCTGAGTGCCCAGTGTCACAAGCGGTGCTCCTGAATGTCCCTGTTGGCACAGGCCAGTTATTGCTTACTCTTATCTAAAACCCAGGGGAAAGAGACACTGAGTTCCTCTCCATTTTCCCAGGGGAAATTGTGCTCACTTTTTATTATTTTGTGCCTGAATTCCTCCACTGATTGTATGTTTTGTGAACGTGCTCCTGGGAGAGGTGCTTGCTGTTGAACCTGCGAGCCTCCCTGGTTGAAGTCTCTCAGTGGCGGAATCAGCAGGCATTCATACGTAGGGGCCTGGCACTCCCCTGGAGGCGCTACGTGTCCCAGAGAGGTGGACGTCCGTGTTTCCTTAGCCAGGAGTCTCGCAGGACGCTCTCTGTTGTCTGGGGACCCGTGTGGCTGGTCTCTTGAATAAGCCCATCTTGACTTCCTCGAGAGAGCTTCAGCCTGGCGATGTGTGGGTGGGCACCGCTGTCCCCAGAGCTGCAGTGGTGTGCAGGTGTTGCCCTCGCGTGGCAGTGCGTCCTGCGTGTCCTCAGCGCTGAGGCGGGGCATGAGCTCTGTGGCTGGGGATTACTCTAGACATGTCACTTAAAAACTATGCAGAGCTTTAGGTAGTCAGCTTGCACAATCAGAATCTTGGAGGTAGATTTTTTCCTTTGCCAAATCCAGTAGAAATGACCATTTTGCTTGTTTCGTGCAGGCTTTGATTCTGATAACTCTTCTGGGGAATTTTCAGAGGCGAATCAGAAGATTACAGGAATGATTGACTTAGACACCAACAAAAGTACAAGGAGTGGGAAAAGTGGGGAGAGGCCCTCTCAAGAGAATGGAATTCAGAAGCACAGGTATGCTGTCTCAACACAGTTTTATTTTATTTTATTTTATTTTATGAGCAGAATATATTTATTGAGAGAAAGAAAGCTCCTGTCCAAGAGAGGGACAAGAGGGGGGCTTGAGCGGGTAGTTCCCCAGGAAGCTGTCTCTTCCAGGAACTTTTATAGTGTAAAACCTTGTGGAGCGAAGGTAGAGAGAATGGGAACTCGCTTAGGTCAACACAGTTTTAGAATTTTCTAAAATGCGTGTGTAATTGTCCCTGTAACGCTCTGCACAGTCTCCTCAGGTCTTAGGAGTGTTCAGTGGTGACAGCACCCCCACCCCTTGGCTCAGGGCAGTCTCTTCCTCTATTTGGTCTTGGAAATTAGTAGAAAGTAGAATTTTGACTAGCGACTCACCATCTGTGGAATACCTTTGGTGAGCTGGAAGTCTAGGGTTGCATCTTGCTTAAGTGTCTTATCATTTTCTTTTCTTTTTTTTTTTTTTTTGGCATAACCGTGGATTGCATTCAGATCCTTGCGCTTTCCAAGGAAGTGCTTATTCTACTAAGCCATCTCCCCAGCCCCCCCAAAGGATCTGCTAAGAAGTTTAACCTTGAACTCA